GATTCGACACTTTAGAACCACAGTTCGAACATGTTCTAGACGTCTGGAAAATATTTGGCAGTATGCCTCCTCTCCATTATTGATCGTCTTCCACAGTGCCAGTGCTAGGTCGGGCATGTCCTCCTACAGGCGGATTTCGGACGAAACAAGCGCTCAAAAAAGGCTCAAAACGAATCAAAAATAGTCAAAAAAGACTCGTGCCTAGGCCATGTTTTGACTATTGTTGAACTTGCCTCCTTCGGCGGTGGACAAACCTTCCTTTAGTAAACCTCCCCTTAGTGAAAACGGCCTGGGACCGAAACCGGCGGGCCTGGACCCGCAAAAATGACGGCCGCGACGCCCTCTCGCGAACCGAAAACGGCCAATTCCTTGATCGACGTGTCAGGGCAGGAGGTCTGTCCACCCCCGACTCCTGTGGAGGGGACAGGCCCGACGGAATGCCAACGCCACCCCTGTGCCTCGACCCGGCGAAGGGCCCCCCGCGGGGCCTGCGCCGCGCACCGGTGCCGGGCGGCGGGGAGAGCGCGCGGCATCGCCGCGCCGCGGCGCGGGCCGAGGCTCGCTCCGCCCGGGGCGGCGCGCCGAGGCGGCCGAGGAGGCTGAGCGAGAGGACTCGGCGGCGCGCCGAGGCGGCCGAGGAGGAGAGGCTCGGCGGCGCGCCGAGGCCGCCGAGGAGGAGAGAGGGGGCTCGGCGGCGCGCCGAGGCGGCCGAGGAGGAGAGAGGGGGCTCGGCGGCGAGCGAGAGAGAGGAGCAGCAGCGGCACGAGCATGGGTTTCGGAGGCTCGCGCGGGTTTCTTCGGTCGGCGCACGCCCCCCCCCTCTCCCCCGGGCGCCTCTGGCGCCGCCCTGGCGCGCCTGGTGCGCCAGGGGAGGGGGAGTCGCGCGACGACCGAAGAGATCGCGCGGACCTCCGAGGCGTTTGTGTTTGTGCTGTTCTGGCTTCTACAGGAGGAGGAGGAGGAGGAGGAGGAGGAGAAGGAGGAGCAGGAGGAGGAGGAGGAGGAGGAGGAGGAGGAGGAGGAGGAGAGGAGGAGGGGAGGGAGGAGGAGGAGGAGGAGGAGGAGAGGAGGAGGAGGAGGAGAGAGCAGAGCAGGAGGAGGAGCAGGAGGAGGAGGAGGAGGAGGAGGAGGAGGAGAGGAGGAGGAGGAGGAGGAGGAGGAGGAGGAGGAGGAGGAGGGGAGGAGGAGGAGGAGGAGGAGGAGGGGAGGAAAGAGGAGGAGGATGGAGGAGGAGGAGGAGGAGGAGGAGGAGGAGGAGGAGGAGGAGGAGGAGGAGGAGGAGGAGGAGGAGGAGGAGGAGGAGGAGGAGGAGGAGGAGGAGGAGGAGGAGGAGGAGGAGGAGGAGGAGGAGGAGGAGGAGGAGAGGAGGAGGAGGAGGAGGAGGAGGAGGAGGAGGAGGAGGAGGAGGAGGAGGAGGAGGAGGAGGAGGAGGCGGAGGAGGAGGAGGAAGGAGGAGGAGGAGGAGGAGGAGGAGGAGGAGGAGGAGGAGGAGGAGGAGGGAGGAGGAGGAGGAGGAGGAGGAGGAGGAGGAGGAGGGGAGGAGGAGGAGGAGGAGGAGGAGGAGGAGGAGGAGGAGGAGGAGGAGGAGGGAGGAGGAGGAGGAGGAGGAGGAGGGGGAGGAGTCCAGGATGGAATCGTGGGTCTACGTTTCCCTTCTCCTCTCGGCGGCGAGCCTGGGGAAAAGGAGAAGGGGCAGGCCTTCTCAGAAGTCTCGGAAGGCCCCCAGCCTCCTGAGAAGTGTTCAAAGCCTTCCCTGAAGACAGACAAACAAACCTCTTAGGAGACGCGAAGGCTTCTGAGAAGTCCCGCCGCCATCTGAGAAGGCCTTCTGCTTCTCACTTCCCCCCCTCGCTCGCCGCCAGAGGACGGGAGGACAGGTAATCAAAAACGAGTCGGATATGCGTCAGGAGGCAGCTCCTGCAAGATCTTCGCTGGAACGAGAAAATCTTTTGAGCCCGATCCGGATGCTACGAAGCCCGATGAGGCCCACGCTGACACCAGATTAAGCATAATGTGTGTTTCCGTCAGCAGCTCAGCGAAATTGGAGATCGCAAAACAAACGAACAAAAAAACTAACAAACAAGAACAACTGCGAGGTTGCGACAAATCGAAGCTAGATGAGACGAACAAGCAAGAAGAAGTATGTGCAATGTTCGTAAGGTATGGGACCTGCCAGGCAGGGACTTGCGACTTGCGACACTGGGCGGCTAGATTAAGCAGAAATGAACTGCATGTGGCTGGATTGATGAAAATTAGGCCAGATGAGGCAAGATGAGACCGAAGGAAATACGAGTGCCGATGCTGGATCTACTCCCAAAAATGGTAATCATACATTCGGTGACCAGCATCGTCCAGCCTACCCTCATCCCAAGTGGGCCAGAGTTGCATAGCGACACCCAGCCTAACCACTCTAAGCAGCGTAGGGTTCGTCGATACAAGATAGGGGGGCGTAGAAATGGCTGCACTGCGTCGATTACAGCGCCGCACTGCAAAATCGTCTGATCATACTGTTTGGCTACGTGTCCAATCCGGTCATGCGCTGAATCATACTCGCATTTGGTTCAGGATCGAGGGCTGCTGCACGGAATGAGCCGACATTCCGAACAACATCGGAAAAGCCCTCACATGCTTCCGCGAAGACTCAGACAAGGCGCAGCGCCGACTCTCGCTGGACTCCGTGCGCGCTGGCCACGGCGCCCACCAATGTCGGGGAGACGTAAGACTCGGGTATGGGGAACTCGGGTTGGCCTGACGGGGCCAACAGGAAAATGACGAGACCCAGTCTGAAATTCGACGCGAGCTCCCGCCGCAGACATCCCACGAAAACTGCACCGCCAAAAAATATCCAGGGCGAGCTCGCCAAAAAGCGCAGGCGAAGCCGAGTTCCGGCGTGCTCGAGTCTTACGCTTTCCCGAGAATGACTGCCACCGCGAATCTGAATGCTCCAAGTATCTCGGCAGCAGGCACAGGAGCCACCCTCGGGGATCTTCTGACCTGGGCCAATCCAGACCCGGGTCAGCAGGAAACCAAAAACCGCAATGCAGGAAAAAAAACTGCAACGCAGGTCTTCGCAAACCCAGGTCCACCAATGTGCGCGGCCGCCTCGCGGCCACGAGCGGCTCGCTAACCCGGGTCAGCCAGAGGGGGTCTTCGCAGGATCCTGCAGCATCTGGTGCCCTGGCTGACCCCCGTTTGCATTGACCCCCGTCTCAAGGCTCCCGCCACCCGTGCCCACGCGCTGCCCCGGGGCGCGCACGAGAGCAGCACGGGAGGAGGGAGGCAGGCTCCGACGCCCGCGGCGGGCCGCCGCAGCCAGAGAGGCTACCGCCAGCACGGCTCAGACGCCAAGGCCAGCCTGGAGTTAAGTCGGGCGTGTCCCCCTACAGGGGGGTTTTCGACGATCTGGCCATGGGCCAGAGGGCCCAGCCCTTAGGATCCCGCCCTTGCGTTCCACTTCACTGCTCCCCCTCAGCGTCGATTGACTATCAGTTCATTTCAATAGTTCTACTTCGGCAGCTTACAAAGGCGAAACACCAGGTACGAGAACGGAAGTACGTATGCGGGTGCGTGCATGCGTCAGCGCACGCATGAGAACACACACGTACCCTCCGAAACCCCTCGGGGAAGATCCCCTGGCTCCAGCCTGGCACTTTCGAGCTTGCGACGCCAGTGTGCCGCAGCAGCAGGCGGGAGAACGAAGGACGCACAAGCACAACGAGCTACCGAGCCAAATCCCTTAGAGGCAAAGAACATTGACAAACCGCATCGATCTAAGATAGCCTCGAGGGGGCTTCGGAAATCCCGAAGATGGTCCAAGAGGGCTCCAAGGCCATCCAAAAAGACCCCCACGATGGCCCGAGAACCTCAAGACGGCCGAGGACCGTTCCGGCAAAACTCCAAGACGGTCCCGAAATCTGACGAGTCTCTTCGAGAGAGAGCTCGATAGGACCATCGCGCCAAAGAAGGCCCCAAGACTCCCCAAAGGGCCCCAAGAGGCTCCCAGGGGGAGCCCAAAAAGGCCGCAGAGGTTCCTCAAGAAACCTTCGAGAAACCCGCGCGTAGCAACGCAACAACCATGCACCATGCAACGTCACGGCCATGCCAGGCTACGGCATCGTAGCGCTGCTTCCCACACGGACTCAGGAGGGTTCGACCGAGCCTATTCGGGAGAGCTTGGTAGAACCATTCTGCATAATGCTGCGCTGGCACGGTAACGGATATGCCGCGGAAAGATGGCACAACTCTATCAGGGCGTTGTTCCAACATGACAGGACATGTACGAGTGTACAACTTCTCAGGCACGGCGCACAATCCGATCATTACAGCCCTGCCGCGCGCGCACACTTCAGCAGCCGCCAAGGGCGATGTACAAAGCCTTCTAGAGAGAGGCTGTCCTCTTGCTCCAACTACTGCGCCACCCTCCTCCACCTCCGTTCCCACAACCTCCCCCAGAGCTGCGATTCAGCATGCAGTAGAAGCCATGCAGGTGTGATTACTTCCCCGTATTCAGCCAGACTGAATGCCTCCTCAATGTGTAGGAGGTCACAAGAAAGGCGGTGGACTCGTGTACAGCAGATTCAAGAAAATTGTGCAGGACTCATGGAATACATAGAACTGCCTCCCAGCCTGGGTTTCAAAAAAAACGAGCCCGAGAGGGCGACTGCCGCGATCTGCCGACGGGTAGGAGGCCCCCGAGCCGGCAAGCCGACAGCGATGCAAAAATGAAAACGATCAGAAGTTCTCGAAACCGCCCATCCCCTGCCATCGCTTCATGGCGGCATCGAACTGGTCAACCCCGTCCAGGCCGGTCCACTGCTCCGCCACCAGGATCCCGATGACTGCGAACATCGAGAAGCGGCCGTTGTTGAGCTCGCGATTGCGGAGCTCGTCGTCGAACTGGACGCCTCCGAAGGTGGTCGTCCACCCTGCGGGGTCGCCGAAGTCGCCGGGAGCCCTCGACTCGCTCTCGGTCCAGAACTTCAGCTCGTAGAACCCCGCCGTCAGGAAGAGGATGCCGAAGGCCTGGGCGGCCGCCGGCTCCTTGGACGCCTCCCAGAGGAGGGTCAGGGTAGCCAGGGTCGGAGGAGATCGCGCCGCATCGTCGATGCATCGCCGATGCGTCGGGGGTACATCGGCGACGTCGGCGTGGAGAGAACTGGGCTCCGCATCGAGGCGCATCGCGGATGCATCGGCGACGTGGCGCGATCCTCCGACACCATCTACTCGGACCTCATCTGGGAGACCTAGACTCCTGCAGGGCCGCCAGGCCGGAGGGGGTCTCCGGGCTGACCCACGGGAACTTGTTGCCGTGGGCCGCGGTGAGGCCGATGGCCGCCATCATGGCCACGCGGGCGTGCTTGATCTCGGCCGTGCGGTACTTGCGGAAGGTGGCCTCGTCCGTGCACAGGCCCGCAGGGTCCCAGAAGCCGAGCGGCGGGAGCGCCCCCACCTGCTTCGCGGGGTCGAATGGGCCCGGGCCGAAGGGCTCGTAGCTGGTGGCCAGGCCAGGCGCCGTCTTCCCCTGCCTGAGCACGCCCGCGCCCGCGGCCGCGCCCGAGGCCGCCATGGCGCCCGCCGCCTTCGCGGAGCCCGCCGCCACCGCGCCCTTGGCCGCGGCGGCCGCGGCGGCGGCGGCGGCGACGGAGACGGGCTCGGCGCGGAGCGGGGAGTCCGTGTAGAGCGCCCAGTCACCCCATGCAGCGCCGGTCAGGCCGTCCTGGAAGAACATGCCGATGATCGCCATCATGGCCAGGCGACCGTTCGCAATCTCGGCGTTGAGCTTGGTCTTCCTGGCCTCGGTATCGGTCATGCTGGGAGCTCCGTTGGGCACGCCCAAGGGCCCAGCATTCGCGAAATCCCCGGGAGCTCTGCCATCCTCCTGCGAGAAGTATCCAGTCTCGATGAGGCCCGCGAACAGGAATGTCTGAGCCCAACCTCCAGCGGGGATCTTGGAGAGGGCGGCCAGGCCGTTCGGCACGTCACTGAAGGCCAGGTCGTTCGAGGGCGACACGAGCCCTGGCCACTTGAAGTACTCGGGCACGATGTAGCCGATGCACGCGATCATGGAGACGCGGCCATGCTTGATCTCGGTCATACGGCGGCGCCTGAATGCCTCGGCATCCCCATCCTGGCTGTACCCCGCCGGATCCCAGTAGCCCACGGGAGCCTGCACGCCCAGCTCGCTCTCGAACGCGCGGAGCGGGGAGTCCGTGTAGAGCGCCCAGTCGCCCCAGGCAGAGCCGGTCAAACCGTCCTGGAAAAACATGCCGATGATCGCCATCATGGCCAGGCGGCCGTTGGCGAGCTCGGCCCTGAGCTTCTTCTGCTTCGTCTCGGGGTCGGTCGAGGTGATCGCCCTCCACCCGTAGTTGCCTGGCTCGCTGCCCCGCTTGAAGGCGCCGAAACCGAAGTTGACCTCCACCAGCCCGCAAAAGATGACCCACTGACAGATGCCAGCTCCTGGCACCTTTGCGAGCGCGCCAAGGCCGTTCGGCACGTCCGAGAACTTCAGACCGGTGGACGGCGAGAGGTAGCCAGCGAACTTGAAGTACTCGGGGGAGATGTAGCCCATCGTCGCGAGCATCGACACCCGTCCGTGCTTCAGCTCCGTCTCCCGGCGCCGCTTGAAGGAGTCGGCGTCGCCGTCGGCGCTCAGGCCAAGGGGATCCCAGTAGCCCACAGGGGCCTGCACGCCCAGCTCGCTCTCGAACGCGCGCAACGGAGACCCCGTGTAGAGCGCCCAGTCGCCCCAGGCAGAGCCGGTCAAGCCGTCCTGGAAAAACATTCCGATGATCGCCATCATGGCTAGGCGGCCATTGGCGATCTCGGCCGCCAACTTCTTCTGCTTCTCCGCGGCGTCGCTGGACGTCAGCACCTTGAAGCCGAAGTCGCCCGCCGCGGCAGCGGTGCCGGCGGACTGGTCCTGGGACAGCTCGCAGAACGCACCGTACGCCACGATCTGCGCCCAGCCCGCCGCGGGAACCTTGGAGATCGCACCGAGCCCGTTCGGGATGTCCGCGAACTTCAGGCCCGCGGACGGCGACAGGTACCCTGGCAGCTTGCCAGTGATCTCTGGGGTGATGTAGCCCATGGTCGCCAGCATTGACACGCGCCCGTGTTTCAGCTCCGTCTGGCGCCGGCGGGCGAAATTCTCTGTGCTACCGTCCGCCGTGAAGCCAGCGGGATCCCAGAAGCCAACTGGGTCCTGAACGCCCAGCTCGCTCTCGAACGCGCGCAACGGAGAGTCGGTGTAGAGCGCCCAGTCTCCCCATGCAGAGCCGGTCAAGCCATCCTGATAGAACATGCCTATGATCGCCATCATCGCCAGCCTTCCATTCGCGATCTCCGCATTCAGCTTGCGGGATTTAAGCTCCCCAGCAGGCAAAGTACTGCCGTTGGGCACGCCCAGCACGCCACCGTTTTCATAGTCACCCGGGGCCCTCGATGGGTCGTACACGAACAGGCCCTTCTCGAGCAGGCCACAGAACAGGAAGATCTGGACCCATCCCGCGCCTGGAATCTTGGAGGGTGCTGCGAGACCATTGGGGATGTCCGCAAACTTGAGGCCCTTGGACGGGGAGCAATACCCCGGCCACTTGAAGTACTCAGGGGTGATGTAGCCCATACACGCCCACATGGACACGCGCCCGTGCTTGATCTCAGTGACGCGGCGCCTCTTGAAGGCCTCAGTATCGCCGTCCTTGCTCAGGCCGGCCGGGTCCCAATAACCGAATGGGGCCTGCACGCCCAGCTCGCTCTCGAACGCGCGCAACGGAGACCCCGTGTAGAGCGCCCAGTCGCCCCAGGCGGAGCCGGTCAAGCCGTCCTGGAAAAACATTCCGATGATCGCCATCATGGCCAGACGGCCGTTGGCGATCTCAGCCGCCAACTTCTTCTGCTTCTCTGCGGCGTCGCTGGACGTCAGCACCTTGAAGCCGAAGTCACCCGCCGCAGCAGCGGTGCCAGCGGACTGGTCCTGGGACAGCTCGCAGAACGCACCGTACGCCACGATCTGCGCCCAGCCCGCCGCGGGAACCTTGGAGATCGCACCGAGCCCGTTCGGGATGTCCGCGAACTTCAGGCCCGCGGACGGCGACAGGTACCCTGGCAGCTTGCCAGTAATCTCTGGGGTGATGTAGCCCATGGTCGCCAGCATGGACACGCGCCCGTGCTTCAGCTCCGTCTGGCGCCGGCGGGCGAAATTCTCCGTGCTACCGTCCGCCGTGAAGCCAGCGGGGTCCCAGAAGCCAACCGGGTCCTGCACGCCCAGCTCGCTCTCGAACGCGCGCAACGGAGACCCCGTGTAGAGCGCCCAGTCGCCCCAGGCGGAGCCGGTCAAGCCGTCCTGGAAAAACATTCCGATGATCGCCATCATGGCCAGACGGCCGTTGGCGATCTCAGCCGCCAACTTCTTCTGCTTCTCTGCGGCGTCGCTGGACGTCAGCACCTTGAAGCCGAAGTCACCCGCCGCAGCAGCGGTGCCAGCGGACTGGTCCTGGGACAGCTCGCAGAACGCACCGTACGCCACGATCTGCGCCCAGCCCGCCGCGGGAACCTTGGAGATCGCACCGAGCCCGTTCGGGATGCCCGCGAACTTCAGGCCCGCGGACGGCGACAGGTACCCTGGCAGCTTGCCGGTGATCTCTGGGGTGATGTAGCCCATGGTCGCCAGCATGGACACGCGCCCGTGCTTCAGCTCCGTCTGGCGCCGGCGGGCGAAATTCTCCGTGCTACCGTCCGCCGTGAAGCCAGCGGGGTCCCAGAAGCCAACCGGGTCCTGCACGCCCAGCTCGCTCTCGAACGCGCGCAACGGAGACCCCGTGTAGAGCGCCCAGTCGCCCCAGGCGGAGCCGGTCAAGCCGTCCTGGAAAAACATTCCGATGATCGCCATCATGGCCAGACGGCCGTTGGCGATCTCAGCCGCCAACTTCTTCTGCTTCTCTGCGGCGTCGCTGGACGTCAGCACCTTGAAGCCGAAGTCACCCGCCGCAGCAGCGGTGCCAGCGGACTGGTCCTGGGACAGCTCGCAGAACGCACCGCACGCCACGATCTGCGCCCAGCCCGCCGCGGGAACCTTGGAGATCGCGCCGAGCCCGTTCGGGATGTCCGCGAACTTCAGGCCCGCGGACGGCGACAGGTACCCTGGCAGCTTGCCGGTGATCTCTGGGGTGATGTAGCCCATGGTCGCCAGCATGGACACACGCCCGTGCTTCAGCTCCGTCTGGCGCCGGCGGGCGAAATTCTCCGTGCTACCGTCCGCCGTGAAGCCGGCGGGGTCCCAGAAGTTGGGACTTGCCAGAGCAGCCCGGCACGCGGCCGTGCAGCTCTGGGCCGCCGCCCTCATCCATCTCCGCTCCTGGGGATGGCGAATCCTCTCCCCCTCCTCCCCGCCGGCTGCAAAGCTGGTGCTGCTGCCCTTCCTCCTCCTCCTCCTCCTCGCCCTCCTCTGCCTCCCCGGCGTCCGCCCCCTCCTCTGGTTCCTCCTCTGCTGTCTCCTCCTCCTCCGTCTCCCTTGCCTCCTCGTCCTCCGCCACCTCGTCCTCTCGTGCCTGCCCCAGCCTGTGCTGATGGGGCAGCCTGCTGCTGCGGCTGCGCCGCCGGCGCTGCAGCGCCGCCCGCCGCGGCCCCGCCACCCTTGGCCCGCCCTCCTCCTCGACCTCCTTCTCCTCCTCTGACTCCGCCTCTGGCTGCACTGACTCCGCCTCTTCCTCCTCCGCCTCCTCCTCTTCCTGCTCGTCCTGTTGGCCTCGGGCTGCGCCCTCCGCCCCTGCCCCCTCGCCCTCCCCTGCCGCTGCGGCCGGGCGCCGCCGCGTCGGAAGCTGCGGCTGTGCTGGCTGCCGCCTGCGGCGGCGCTGCCGGCGGCGGGGGACCGGCTGCCGGTGCTGGGGCCTCTCCCGGCGCTCTGCACACCGTGACGCGCGGCAGGTTGTTCACCCTATCCTTCCATCGCCACATGCGCTGGCATTTAAGGCATCGAATGATGCCCTCGTCTTCACTACCGATGTCCTTGCCAGTCTTTCTGTTCCACTGGAGCTCGTGTTGGCCGCGGTTGTATTTGCTATTGAGCTCGGCCTCCAGCTTGTCCAGCCTGGACGCCGAGTTGTTGTAGCCTTCCTGCATCAGCCACCGGTCTGGCGGCAGGGCCGCCTGCTCGCACGGCTTGCCCGTGATCTTGAGGCGCACGTGCTGCAATCTCTCCACAAACTTGCCGCACTTCCGGCACCACACGCCGGGCTTGCCGCCGGGTCGCTGGGCCAGCGCGTGACCATTCTCGTGGGCAGGCGCCGCATTCGTGCCGAGCTCCACGCCGCGCAACTTCTCCCCCTCGTGGTACCGGGCGATGTGCCTCGACCAGATGGTGACCAGCATGGCCTGGAGGGTGCGCGCCTGCTGCCGGGTCAGCACCGACTGTCGTGGGATCACGCCCGCGTAGCGCACGCAAATCGGCTGCTGGGCGACGTCGCGCGGCAGGCCCTGAAGCGCGGGCGCCCGGACTGAGGCGCAATCTCCGCACTCCCACGAGACATGGAATATAGTCTCTTCGGCTCCGCAGAAGCACTTGCGGTCGCTGCCGTCCTTCTGGCGCCTCGCGTTCCTCTCTGCCGTCATGAGCCCACCGGCGAGGATTAGGCGAAGCACGCCAAGCTGCTTGCGTGCCGTCTCTGTCGCGGTGGAGACCGTGCTGCCGTCTCCCGCCGTCTCCGCCTCCCCCTCCTCCTCCTCCTCCTCCTCGGGGTCCCTCTCCTCGACCTCGTTGGCCAGCCTCTGGAGCTCGTCGTGGTATGCCATCGTGCGTTCTCTGTCGATGTGGCTTGCCCCTGCGTAGTGCTGCTCCCGGTCCCGTACTAGCCGCGTCGATAGTGCGCTGCGCCAGGCATCTCTCAACGTATGTAGCCATTCCTCCTCCTCCGCCTCGCTCCTCACGTTCCCATCCATCAAGTGCTGAATCCCTGGCCCGAAAACTGGTGATCTGCTCAACACACGCAGCCTCGACACAGGTCCGTCGCGACGAACGGTAGGTACCTGCCCAAACCGCGCGCGCAAAACTGTTGCCACCTCTGGGTTCCGCACGGTGCGCATCACCGTTCGTAGCCCCTCGTATACAGCACCAAATTCTGGGTCGAGATGTACAGGAGCCAGTAAGGCAAACGTCAATGCCGGACTCATGGAATAGCTGTCCGTTTTCCATAAAGCCTGCATAACCACCGTCCTGACTTTGCGGAGCGCCGAGACATCACTGACAAGGCAGTGTGTGCCCTGACAGAAAAATGCCTGCGCCTGGGTAGCCCGAAGCATTCTTGCACGATCTGCCCATGGCCGGGGTACCATGCGCACGCGCCCTGCTGTCAGCTTCCATTTCTCCATTCGCTGATTTTCCAGCTCCGTAACGGTAAGGGCACCTGGTCTTGCAACCAGCGATCCGCCTACAACGCGAAATTCTGTAAGATGCTGTACTTCGTTACCCAGGACTCCCTGCGCACACACATCCCCGAAAGTAAAGCACTTCTTCATATTCAGTTCCCCACCTCCAGCGGCGCAATACGCACGAACCACACTGTGGAAACCACGTATCCCCTCTCGTACTCCCTCCGCCGTCGGTGCCACCGTCACAGAAGATATGTCGTCTGCATAGGACCTGTCTGTCGTAGTAGCCTTCTTATGTGCCCCTGACGCTTCCAGAATGCATGTTACAATACTGTTCAATGCAATCATACTGAGAGCATCTCCCTGCACAATACCGTCATGAGCTTGAAACCAATCACCAACAGAGCCTTTTAACTTGAATACTCTCCGTAAGCCACTGCACATGCCCCGTAACGGCCCCAGTATCCAGTGATGCATCCCTCGTTGTTCCAGAAGTTGTAGTGCAATTTCCATAGGTATGAGGTCAAAAGCTTTTTTAAAATCGTAACTGATGCCACCCACGTATGCTCCCGCACCGTACGCCACAGATTCCATATGCATAGCTATGCTCATGGCCATGGCCTCTGCACTCCGGCCTGGCCGGCAGCCATACATAGTCGCCGGGGCCCACTTTTCCTGCCACGGGAGACAATCTTTGAACCTGGCTGCACTCCATATTCTGTAGATCCCACTCAACACACTGATTGGTCTCCAGTCTGTAGCCGCTGGCTCCGTGAGAGTCGGATCCTTTGGTATCAAAGCAACGTAGGCTTTAAGCAATTCTCGTGGCCATACTCCTGTCTTCTCAACCCAATTCAAAATGTCTGTGAGGTCACGGAACAAGGAAGGGAACCACCTTCCCAGTGCACTGAGCTCCTCTGGTCGCCATGAATCCAGGCTGCACGCCGATGGTTTTGCGTCTGCTGCCACCCGCGCTATGTCCGTCCACCTCAAAGGAGAGAGCTCCATCGAAGAAGATTTCAAGTACGGCCCAAAATGCCCCAAGAATCCCTCCACATCCTCCGGTGTGTTTTTGTATTTCTGTAATATTGGTAACCACGCCTGGAGCACTGCATCCAATTGTTCCGTCCTGTCTGCTGTAAATGCGCCGTCCTTCATCCTCATGGCATCCGGCCCGGTACTGCTCCCACCTTTAACCCATCGGTACGCCTCCCGCTCCGACGATTGCAAACGGCGCTTCCATGCACGTATCCTGGCCCTCTCCGCCTCCCGGACAACTCGTCGATGCTCCTCCACCATGACGTCCCGAACCTTCCCAACTGCATTCTGATTCAGCCCATGCATCGTAGCATCCTGCACTTTCCTGCAGAACTCTGCCTGCTCTGGCCGTGTCGTCGCAGACTGCTGGGTGGACGCCGGCGTGTCGCCCTGTATCCGGACAGGGTATTGGGTTGCAGCGTAATTCGAGCTGGCCGTGCAGTCCGAGATAATGTTGCGAAAGGTCCAGTCGGCTCTCGTGCCATAGCTCGCCATTCTCGATAGCTCGTCACACCGTTGGATGTTCCTGGCGAGCCTCCGTGCCTCCAACGTAGCCGCAGAAGGGTCTCCCTTGCCCTCTGGAGGGAACACACACACACCTTCCTCATGCGTACCTTGCCCCTGCCGTGTCCCACTCCTCCTGCGTCACAGTCGTGATGCGGCCCTCCGTGTCCAGACTTCCTGGGTATAAGCCCCAGGCGTGCTTCAGCCCGCCTGCACCATCTCGCCAGGGCCGCGTCCACCTTCCCGTGCGTCAGGAGATCCGCGATAATTGAATCGGCGTCCAAGTCCGGCGGCACATACCCATCGTCCGGTCTGCAGTATTCGGCCTTCCGTCCAACCACTTTCGGCATATAGTGGACCTGTGCGGCAATAGGCAAGGCGACCGCGAGCCTCACGAAATGATGGTCCTTGTCTCGTAGCCCGGGTTGCACTTCGTACCGTCGCATTAGCACTGAAGCGGTTGTATTCGCAAAGACCCAGTCGATTCGAGATCCACCGCCCTTCGCACACGTAGGCTCCGTGTTTCGCCCACTGCTGCCCCATAAGTTCGCATCGTTCCAGCCCTCCTTGCCCATTTTCCGTACGAATTCCGGCACATCCGTAACCTGCAAATTGATATCGCCTCCAATCATGGTGGCCACACCTCCTCGCATCCGGGCATCATCCGCAACGGCACGTAACATTGCACACGTCTGGCTCCGCTTGCGCTGCTCCCAGCGCGCTCCAGCATGACCGTAAATAGCGTAAATCACCAACGACCTCTTCCCAGCACCCCTGAATATCTGTACCGCCATAAGCCTCCCTTGTGCGGCATATTGTTCGCAAACCTTATTCTTAAAGGCGACCTTCTGCATCGCCCATGCCGCCCCCTTTTTGCAGAAAACGGCCACTCCAGCGTACGACCTTGCCGGCACTGGTGCGCCCCATATAACGTCGTGCGTATCGCATCGGTTATGCAAGGATTTCTGCAAAAATGTGGTAGCGTGCGTTTCCGAAACCACGGTGACATCCGCGCCTCTGTCCAGGATATTGTCATAAATACCCGTCCCAGCCAGACCATTGGGATTATAGAATTCAATGACCAACCGTTGTTCGTCACAGTCCACTCCCGTCGTCTGTGCGCCCTGCTCGTTCGTCCGTGGTGGCCCCAGATTGCTCGCTTCACCAAACCTCTTCCCCGCATACGGCCACAGTCTGTACGCAAGCAGATCCGCTGTTGCGTCCAACACAAGAGCCAAGGTAGTATAGGGTACACTTGCTGTTCCAGTTTTTCGGGCGGATCCGGCCGTGGCTACGAGGGGAGCCTCCGAAGGCCCAAAAAGGGATGCCTCGTAGCAGCGATGGATGGCACCCACGCTGCTGGTGGTGAGTCCGCGCGCGCTGCTGGAGGGGAGTCTGCACACGCCGGTGGGTGGCAAGTGGAGTCTGCACATGCTGGTGGATTGAGGTCTGCACACGCTGCTGGAGGTGAGTCTGCGCAAGCTGCTTAGAGTGAGTCTGCACATGCTGGTTGGTGGAAGGTGGAGTCTGCACACGCTGGTGAGTTGAAGTCTGCACACGCTGATGGAGGTGAGTCTGCACAATCTGGTTGGTGGAACGTGGAGTCTGCACATGCTGCTGGATGTGAGTCTGCACATGCTGCTGGAGGTGAGTCTGCACAAGCTGATTGGTGGAACGTGGAGTCTGCACATGCTGCTAGAGGTGAGTCTGCACAAGCTGCTGGAGGTGAGTCTGCACAAGCTGGTTGGTGGAAGGTGGAGTCTGCACACGCTGTTGGATGTGAGTCTGCACACGCTGCTGGAGGTGAGTCTGCACAAGCTGGTTGGTGGAACGTGGAGTCTGCACATGCTGCTGGATGTGAGTCTGCACATGCTGCTGGAGGTGAGTCTGCACAAGCTGATTGGTGGAACGTGGAGTCTGCACAAGCTGCTAGAGGTGAGTCTGCACAAGCTGCTGGAGGTGAGTCTGCACAAGCTGGTTGGTGGAAGGTGGAGTCTGCACACGCTGTTGGATGTGAGTCTGCACACGCTGCTGGAGGTGAGTCTGCACAAGCTGGTTGTTGACAAGTGGAGTCTGCACACGCTGCTGGCTGTGAGTCTGCACATGCTGCTTGAGGTGAGTCTGCACAAGCTGGTTGGTGACAAGTGGAGTCTGCACACGCTGCTTGGAGTGAGTCTGCACATGCTGCTGGAGGTGAGTCTGCACAAGCTGGTTGGTGACAAGTGGAGTCTGCACATGCCGGTGAATGGGAGTCTGCACACGCTGCTGAGGGTGAGTCTGCACATGCTGGTGGAGGTGAGTCTGCACACGCTGCTGGCGGTGACTCTGTGTTTGCTGGTCGTGGTGACTGCTACGCACCCTCTGCCTCTTCCAATCCCTCTGCTGCCCGCCCCGCTGTTCCATCTCTCTCCCTCGTCGTCGTCGTCACCCGTCTGTCCCGTAGATTGATGACCCTCCTCCTCCTTCCCACTCCCCCTCCGTAGTAGTAGTAGTAGTTGTTGTATGTACACAGTCATAGCAAGTAAGTTCCGTGAATTCGGTGGTCGACGGCTGCGCCGGACGAAAGAGAACGTCATAGCGTGACGTTTCCAGTACACGTGGGTAAGGATGGGCGCACAGGCCCGACGCACGTGGTGAAGGCAGTGCAAAGGAAGGTGTAGGCCAGCATGCCCCAATTCGACTGCCCATCGGAAGGCATGGAGAAATGTTGAATTCGTGTGCCCTGGAATGATCGTCAAAAAGCTGGCTCCACCACAGGTAGCTGGAATCAGCGTCATAAACCAGGTCATGCACGGCTCCCGTCGGCGGACACATAGTCAACGCGGGGGCGGGGGCTCGCCCTCCGTATCCATCGGGGCGGCCTGCTCGCCCACCTTTTGGTGCTTCCTTTCCGGCGTTTGGCCCGTCTTCGAGACCTCCGCCCGCTTGGGCGCCCCTCCCCCTGGGTCGGCGTTGCCCTTGGCCTTGCCCTTGGCCGCCGCGAGAAACGCTAGCTGCTTCTGGGCCCGCGTTGTTGGCGTGGATGGCTCGGCCGAGCCAGCACCAGCCGCTGACTGGGCCGCTGACTTCGCAGCCTCACGCGCCAGCGCATTGAGCGCTTTGAAGCGGACCACCCTGGGCTGCCCGTCTTCCACAAAATGGGCCGGGACCTGCTTGCCCATCGTCTTGGCCAAGAAAACTGCCTGTTTCTCATCAAAATATACGATCTCGGTGACCTCCCATTGCAATGTGGTCAAAAGGTCGAACAAGCCAGCAATGCCGGCCGAAACGGGTACGCCCGTGAGCTTCCACCGTCCCAACCCCGCCGTGTAGGGGATCGACTGCGCTGCTGCAAACTTGGCCAAAGTGTCCTCGTCGGCAAACCGTAGGGCCAGCCGTCCATTCTTTCCCTTCTCAGCCAGACCAAGCACTGTCGGCAAAGCAGACAAACGCAATGCCTCCCGCAAGGGCGTCTGCTCGGGCAGCCAGAGCAGTTCCAGAGACTCGGAGTCGCGCCTCTTGACGAAGACCCCGTCCTGGCCGCTGGTGCGGAGCAAGGCGTCCACGTACATCACATGGCACTGGAAAGTAACCGTGCCGTCATACCGGGACTGCACATCCTCCACAGCCTCCCGCTCGCCGTGTTTCCCAACGTGCTCCATGAGGAAGGCCGCCGGGATCTGGCCCTCTTGCCAGCCCTGCCGTAGGGAAAACTTCGCCGTCATCGGCACCATCTGCTTCGGCACCGTGATCGCCTCTCCCATTGTCCGCAGGGAGGCCTGCTCACCAAACCCCAATTGCACTAGATAGCGCTGCACAGTCGTGTCCGCCGTCCCACCTCCTTCCGTCACAACCCGCACCCTGCAAGAAATACGTGTGCGTGGGTAGCCCCGCAACCCCAACTCATCGGGGTCTTGTGTAAGGACCGCCGCTGTGGGTTTAGCTGTGTACCCTACGTTGCGAAGCACATCAGGCAAAGCTTCTTTGGGCACAATGGCCACGCCGCCCTTCGGGCCCAATTGTTGCCAGGCCATTACTGAAGGCTCCCAGTCCTCCTGTAGTAGGGACGTCTGCATACGCAACTTAGCAGCCTGAGGTAAAGCCTGCGCAATCTGTTCTTCGAAGGTGAGCTCCCTTGTGGTGTCTTCGTACCCCTTTCCTGCCTTGCCCCTGCCCTTCCCCTTCCCCTGCGGTCCATTCCCGTGGAGAGCATGCTGCAGAGAGTTCCAGTCCGAATGCTTGATCCCCCATCCGTATCCCATTGGGGCCCCGACCGTGGCAAGATACACTGCACAAATAATGAGAAGCACACGGCATACGCGTACAAGATGTGGCAAGACGAACTGCGATGACAAAGATGAAAAAGAGAACGTGCTGTCCTGTGCCTCACGGGCATATCCATACACAGCTGCCTGAGAGCAGCTTGTCGAGCACCATCTCGCCACTCCAACCAGCATTACCTCCGGCATGCTCGACTGCTGGTGGAGTATTGGCGCCGGAGCCAGCCGGCGGGGTCCCAGAAGCCCACCGGGTCCTGCACGCCCAGCTCGCTCTCGAAGGCCGTCATCGCTACCCTGTGCTGCGCGGAGCCTCGCGGGGCGGCTGCCTTGCCAGCGCCGGACAGCGCACCCCGCGCAAGCAGGGCCAGGGCCGCGGACGCGCCGACCAGCGCCAGGCCGAGGCCGGTGGGCGCCGCCGAATGGGAGACGGGCGCCGCTCCGGGCGCGCCCGCGAGATCCAGGGCTGCCCCAGGGTGGCCGTGGGGCCCATGGTGGCCGAGGGGCGCCGCCACGAAGGCGCGGCACAGCCCGCACGCCGCCAGGCAGGCGACGAAAGCGGCGAGGAGAGCAACGATGCTGGAGCGCGCCATCGCAAGGAACTGGGCCTGATTTAAGTGAGGGAGAAGAGAGCTGAACGCTCACCCTCGATACCGAAAAAAATAGCCCAAAAAACGGCTACGGGAAGTGACGGGGAGGAGGAGGGCCAGAGTAAACCCAGGACGCGGCAACGGTACTGCAAAACACCCTCCCGCCCCAAGTCCCTTCCTCATGAGTCCCTAGAGGCATTCCTCTCCCTCTCTCGCTCTCTCTCTCTCTCTCTCTCTCGCCCTCTCTCTCTCTCTCTCTCTCTGCGTGCAGGAAGCGCCCCTTTGAAAGACGAGCGCATCCCACGGGCCTGCCACTCAGGCGCGAGAGCCTCATTTTGAAAAGGGGCTGCCATCTGCATCCTGTCAGGCGTACGGACGCGAAGGGGTACGAAGGAAAACTTACAAGACCAAGGAGCTGGCCAACGAGAGCCTCTGCTTGGGTAGGAGCTGCCCTTTGCCCGTGTAACTGATGCACGATGTTACACTTCGGGCCGCACATGTTTAGGAAGTTTCCGGGGAGGTATGTTGAACAGGAACCGTCCTTTATCCAAGCAACTGCCACACATGCTACACTTCTGGTCACACTTTGAAGAGGAACCGCCCCCCATGCGTCCAAGGGTTCGAGCATTTGAAGACGAGTGCGCTCGGCACCAGAGCGAGAGACGCAGCTTGAGAAGAAACCGCCCTCCCTCCATCCTTGTTACTGCTGGAACCTTGTAAGACGAAAGCGCGCGGCGCGAGGGCGAGGACCACATCTTATAAACCACCGCCCCTGCACCGGTGGAACTGCAACGGCGAGGACGTCGTGGGCAACGACTGCGTCGAGCATGCTTCCAACACCAACGAGTGCTTACACAAATGATTTCGACGTGCGCGCGCGGCGGTGCGCGCATGTGCCCCGCAATTCGTTCGCAACGCATGCTTGAACCAAAAAAACTGTTTGAATCAACGCACGTGCACCGCAACGTGTCTCTTGCACGAAAATGGCGGGGGGGATTGAGGCCGGAGTGGCTGGCACGCTTTTACTCCCAAGCCTCCTGAGCTGGGCTGATTTTTTTCGCTTGGAGCACTGTGGTCTCCGAACTCCTTCCCCTCCTTCCCGCATGCCTCCTACTGCCTCCTACCTGCGTCACCCTGCCTCCTACCTCGTCTCACATGGGGGTTCATACCTCTTGTGTTCGGTCGTCGCTTTCCCACCCCACCTGCTTTGGATTCTCGTTCTGAATAATCACTGCGCTCGCACACCGTCCTCCCGCCTCCTGCCTCCCCTCCTCCATCCTCCTCCTCCTCCTCCTCCTCCTCCTCCTCCTCCTCCTCCTCCTCCTCCTCCCCTCCTCCTCCTCCATCCTCCTCCTCCTCCTCCTCCTCCTCCTCCTCCTCCTCCTCCTCCTCCTCCTCCTCCTCCTCCTCCTCCTCCTCCTCCTCCTCCTCCTCCTTCCTCCTCCTCCTCCTCCTCCTCTCTCCTCCTCCTCCTCCTCCTCCTCCTCCTCCTCTTCTTCCTCCTCCTCCTCCTCTCCTCTCCTCCTCCTCCTCCTCCTCCTCCTCTTCCTCCTCCTCCTCCTCCTCCTGCTCCTCCTCCTCCTCCTCCCTCCTCCTCCTCTCCTCCTCCTCCTCCTCCTCCTCCCTCTCCTCCTCCTCCTCCTCCTCCTCCTCCCCCCCTCCTCCTCCTCCTCCTCCGTTTCTTCCTCCTCCTCCTCCTTGTTCCGCCTCCTTGGGCGAAACTGGTTCCGATCACGCTGGGATCCTCATCCATAAGAAAAACTCCGATGTGGGCCCAGATATCTGCATCAGCACGTGTGGGATTGAGATACGTCTCGGCGGTCCAACCATCAAGGACAGGCATCCAGTCCGCGGCGAAGACCGCGTTCCCACAAGCAGAAAATACGGTGAGCCACAAAGCCTCCACCTCGGGCCACCGTCTGACGAGGACCCGCCAAACCACCTACATCATAACAATCGACGTCAAGTGGCTGGAACTGACTGACGACCGCGACGCCGACAGCAAGTCGGCGCAACTTCGGGCCCGTCGCGCCAGGCCCCCCGCTCGCATCACCAAACACGCACGTCGGGAAACTGTTGGCGGCGAGCGCGAGGCAGCCTGGGGCGCGGCCGTCATTTTGTCCGTCGAAATCCCAGTCGTCAGTAGAAATCAGACTGGGCATTATCGCCCACTGCTTTGGAATCGGCCCACGACGCCAGAAACAAAAAACCTGTTCGCGGTGAATGCAGGCCGCCGCCGCCAAGCAGTCACTTCTCACGTAAGCCCCTGATCCCGTGCTGCCGCGACAAACCCAAAACCTGCGATGAGAAGCCCCCCTGAGATCACCACATCGGTCACGAAGGTCGACCCGAGCTGCACCGATCCGACCTGCCGCCCATGACGAAGGGCATCAATCTGCTCTGCGCACCCTGGACCACGAGTCGAAAATAGCCACTGACAGGAGAGCACCGGCCAAGCGCTTGCCATAGCGGTCGTCACTGTCGCCGTTGCCTGACACATCGATGGCCACCACAAGGGACACCACAAGGTTGGTAAGAAAGCACGATGCCACTTTGCTCGTGCTCACATAAGTGCACGAGGTCCTGTTTAAACTGGGAGCTCTCGGCCTCCTGGGTACTAACCAAGTGTCTACGTGCACAATTGGGCTGGTGGTCGAACAGTGGGCGCGAAGCCGTTCAGCAAAGGTGCATTATTCCACGCACTGGTGTTCGGTGCCAAGCGCGCATGATCATCGCATCCTCTTCGTCATCACGCCCTTCGATTGTAGATAGACGTCCGTCTCCTCGCACGACGCCGACCAGGGTCTCGGGGAGGTTCGCGCCCCCGCGGCCACCGCCATCTTGAGGCCCATCGGTCAGGTTTGGAAACCGAGCGAGTCCCTCGCGAGACGAGCTGGCGGGCCCAGTTGCAAACAAGCACTGCGCGAGGCGAGCATGGTCGCTGCCAGCGATGTCCCAGATATTGAGAAGAGGGGCAAGCGCGGACCGGTAGCAGTGGACGCCGGGCTGGATGCCACTGTCGCCGTAGATCAGCGCGCCTCGGCCAGCTCCCTGGTAGGGCGGCAACGAGGGGGCGCTTTTAGCCACGTTGTCGATCCTGGAGCGAGCACTGACGGCGACTGCGGCGCCGCACGCGCATTCGAGATTAATTCGCCGCCCAGAGATAGTCGGGATACTTCCTCGCGGTCGGAAGGTCCGAAATGTCGGATGCGACGGTTATCATGGCCACGCTTCCCCGCCAAGTTCCTCGACGAAGAACAACTCGATGAAAAAATCTAACATGAGAGAACTGAACCACCATCTCTCGTCCCAGTCGCGGCTACAAGCTCCCCTCGTTCCTCGCCCACTTCGGAGACAAAGACCACCCCGACCAGCGTCGTTGCCCATAGTGGCAACTGGCCGATGGTAGTCCGCCAAATCGCCTCTTCGGAATGCTACGCCACCGTCCGCGCTAGTCTTCGCCGCGAGGACCCCGTTTACTTTGGCTGCCGCCGTGGCCTGAGAAATACCGCCAAGTGCAATCTCACGGACGCGGAAATCGCGTTCCTGGCCCGCGGCCTCGGATTCCTCGAACTCTGGACCTCCAAGGTCAGGAAGCATGGATGGCCGCATGCCGGCGCAAGCGCCGCACGTGGAAAGTCCGCGGCAGGAGGCAAACGAGTGGCTAGCGGACAACGCTTCGGCCAGGAGTCTGTATAAAGCACGGGGCACGGCACGCCGTTTGAGATATTCGCCCAAGTCGCCCATGGCCCCGGGAATGCCGCTTCAGACCTTCATAATGTTAGCGTTTGTTCTGAAGCTCGTATGGGGTGTTCGATAAACTGGTTATTGGCGTCATCGGTGTTGCGGCATCCTGCGCCATCGCAGTAATACTTTGGCGGCGTGGATGAACTTCACCCAACAGATGTATAAAGCGTCCAAGATGGTGTCCTTGGACTGTCGGGGATCTCACAGTCGATGGTGTATATGATGCACCAATCGGCGATGTGACAGGCGATGTGCTTCTTGTAGACTATCAAATATAATTCCACCTCTTCGTTGATTGGCCTGGTAATCTCAGCGATGGTAAAGCAAAACTGCCGGGACGTTCCCACGCCTGGCACTCTCGGCACGTGCCAACGATTGTCGCACTGTCAAGTCCGCCCTAGGGCCACCAGTCGCACGAGGTTGCGGCGGTCTCGGATGGCCCCGTAGATGAGGAAGACTGCCCCCCCCCCTAAAGTGCAGGAGGGTCCCCACCATTTTCGGGTCCAAGGCGCACGGAAGCATCATCGCCTGTGGGCAGACTGACAGGTTGGGTAATTTCGCAAGCGATGTAACTGCGGCCAGGTTGTCGCTTGTCGTAATATTTCGCGCACGCTTCACATCTCCAACATACAGAGATCACACCCCGGCAATCTGCGCGCGCGGGGGCCCCGAGAGCGCGAAGGACCGGTGGCTCGGGAGTGCTCGGCGCATCCGAGACCACCGCGTCCGCCGCGAGGGGCGCTGCCGCGCGGAAGTGGATTAGCTGTTCGAGTCGCCTGGACCGGGTCCGCACCACCAGCTGCTGTTGCGGGGTGACTGTCGACGTCGGTCAGACCTGGCTAGGTCTAGTTTCCT